TTTAGAAAATCAATCTGTTGAAATATTTTTCAATCTGTTAAAACGAGAGAGACTATTTTTTATCTCGAGTGTTTGCGGGAATTTAATCTGTTAAAATGTTTTTCAATCGATTGAAACAGAGAGTTGTCATTTTTCATTAAGTTGTTTTAATCCATTAAAACTCGAATCAATCGATTAAATAGAAACTTTAAATGAAATCAATCGATTGAATCGATGTCTTAATCGATTAAATGGAACTTTAAATGAAATCAATCGATTGAACCGATCTTTTAATCGATTGAAATAATACTACGATCGATCATAGTTTTGTTCTAATCGATCATAACTCATTCTGATCGGTCATAGTTTTATTCGATCGATCATAAACTCGATCTAATCGATCATAGTTTCATTCGATCGATCATAACTCGATCTAATCTATCATACTTCGTTTTAATCGATCAGAGTCTTTTCTAAACCTGTTTTACTACTAACCAACTTATCTTATGACTCTCTAAAACAGTTTTTAACAGATGAAACGTTCTATTTTTCTGATTTACTCTATATATACAGATTTGATCTATCTTTTGAAAACACAATACAACACACCACTTGAGAAAACTTGTGAAATCAATCTGTGAAACTTTCATACGTGACTTTCTCGCATTCAAGAATCTTTTTCATATCATAAGGTGCTATGATCGAATTGTGGTCATTCGAGAGAGAAAGTGCTTGATAGAATTGGTTCTGGACAATTAGAAACTTCAAGTCCAGGTTTTTTCTTTCTATATTCTTTTGTAAAAGTTGTTTGTGCAGGTTGGATTGTAATCTGCACTTGGTACGGTAACTGGGTTTGGTTACTGGGTGTTTTTCAAGATTCTGTCTTGTGGGTTTGCAAGATAGTTCTTGTGGTAGATTGGTGAGTATCTACTGGTTGTAAATTTTCACTTGGTATTAGTGAGACTTGACTGGTTTGTCAAGAAGCTGGATGTAGCTCGGATTAGAGTGAACCGAGTATAAATTTGTGTGTTAATATTCTTCTTTCATCTCTTTTATTTTCACGTCAATAAACTTGTTGTGTTTAAACCAAACTACCTTCACAAAGATTAAATAAAGATAACTCATTCTTCCAAAAGAAAGTAAGTTTTGCGAAAAAGTTTTAAAGTTCAATTCACCCCCGCTCTTGAACTCAACCATTAATTCTTTCATTGGGCACCCATTCATATTTGCCATTAGATATACCAAAATGTTTTATGTAACATCTATTTGATGTATGGCCTAATTTCATGCAATAAAAACATGTTGGTTTTCTTTGAAGAGGTCTAAATGAGTTTCTTAAAGTTCTTAAAACTAGCTTTTCATATATTTTCCTTGACTCTTTCACAAAAATAGTTTTATAAGGTTCTAGACTTTCCTTGGGTTTGTAACCAAGTCCAGCTTTGCTAGAATCTACTCTTTGATAACCTAACATAGAATCAAGATTTGCAGAAGATTTAGAAAAATCACTCATTATTTTCTTTAACTTGAAAACCTCATTTTTCAAATGATTACAATTTTCGTAAGGTTTAATAACTTCTTTATTTTTAGACATATTTTTAAATTTCTCAACATCCTTCTTTAAGCACTCATTTTCTTCTTCAAGAATACTAATAGTATTTTCTAATGTATGGAACTTTTGTTTAAATGTAGTATGTTTCTTAGCTAGTCTTTCAAGATGTTCAAACAATTCATCATATGCATTTGAGGATTTTGTGCTACTTACTTGTGATGAGGCTTCTTGTGATGAGGCTTCATCATCACTTTTTGCCATCAAGCAAAGATTTGCTTCTTCTTCTCCATCACTGCTTTCGGAAAAACTCTCTTGTGTTGTGGAAGAATCATTATAACCTTTGTGTTTTCTCTTACAGATACCGTTCTTCTCTTTCTTCTTCTCTTTCACATCTTTCTTCCCTTTCTTAAGTTCTGGACAGTCTGGTTTGATATGGCCAGGCTTTTCATATCCATAGCATAGCTACCTATTGGTTTTCTCTTTTCTTTGTTGTCTCTTTTTCCTATTCTTCATAAAACAAGAACATTGTTTATCTAAAAGAGATATATTGGAATCAGAAAACTCACCTTCATTTTCGCTTTCATCCTATGAAGTTTTAACTGTATTTAGAGCTATCATCTTGACTTGGTTATGTTCACCATTCTTTAAGCTTTGTAATTCCATCTCATGCTCTCGCGGATTTCCAAATAGAGTAGAAATATTCATTTCTGTGAGATCCTTTGATTCTGTAATAGTATTGACCTTTGATTGCCAATTCCTGTCTAAGGATTTCAAGATATTTGTGTTCAACTCCTCATTGCCAAAACTCATTTCTAATGCTTTCAAGTGATTTACTATATGTGTGAAGCGTGTCTGGAAATTCGTGATGCTTTCATTCTACTGCATTTGAAACAATTCATACTCTTGGATGAGTGTGTTCTTACTATTCGCTTTACTTCATTTTTTCTTTCATGTGTCACTTCAAGAGTATCCCATATTTCTTTTGTTGTCTTACATTGTGAGACCCTGAAAAATTCATTTTGAGTTAAGGAAGAAATAATAGTGTTTCGGGATCTTACATCATATTGGGCACACTTGTTTTTATCTAGTGCCCATTGGTCAAAAGTCTTTGGAACAGCTCCAAACTCCATTATTCTCATCGGAATGTAAGCATCATTGAGTACAACATCCCAAACACCGTAATCTAGTGTTTGTAAAATGTTTCCATTCTCGCCTTCCAAAATTGATAGTCTTCTCCTTCAAATAGTGGTGCTCGGTTTATTGAGGCTCCTTCCCTGTAAACCTGATTCTATATAAACATCTTGACAAATTGTTTAGAAATATCTTATTTGATCAAGCTCTGATACCACTTGTTATACAAATGGAATCTAGAGGGGTGTGAATATATGCACAAATTGAAATAGATGCCAAATTAAAATTTATTTGTGATGTCAATAATTTGTTAAATTGAGTTTTAATTATCAAATAAAATACAAATATAGCGGAAGCGATATAATCAGAGAGATAAAGAGAAGGAAATAAGTAGATGTTATCACACAAGTATAAGGAAGAGAAAAACACATAGTAATTTATACTGGTTCAGGTATAGCCAACACTACATCCAATTCCCAGTCAACTCTAATCACAAGAGTGACCCCAATTCACTATCTTTCAAATTCAGTTTACAAATTACAATCAACTCAGCAGAGGAACCAATAAAAGAAAACTAATTCAAAAGACAAACACCTCCTTAGAATCCCACTAAGGATGAACACCTCCCCGAACAAATCAAAGGGATGAACAGAGAAACACACTTCTCAAGAAACAGTACCCACAAGAAAGCCCTTAGTTTGTAGGCAAAGAAAATAATAGCAACAACCTAAACCCTAAAAAGGGAATTTAACAACAGCCACCTAAACCCACAAACGATGAAGACAATAAAATAAGAACAATCACACCTGGGTAATGGAGACAACAAATTATAGAAGCTTGTAGAATGCCAACCTCCAAGAACAAGTGTGATTAACAATGAAAGCGCAGAAGACAGTAGAGAAGAGGATTTTCTCAGAAGGTGTAAAATATCTTTGTTGCCTTGCTCAGAATTCTTTTCTTAAAACTGAATGAATTTAAAATTGTATTTTTGAATTCTGTAATGGTGTATATTTTATTTTTCATCAAAACTTATTTAAATAGGAAAATAGCATCAGAAAATAGTCATTGGTCATTAATACTTTGGTAGAGAAAAATCAGGATGTATCCAAAAACATTTATTCTTCAAAAATGGATATATTTTTAAAATTTAAACTTTCATAATCAATTATGTTACCAGTATAATTGATTATGACAAAGAGAAAATCGTTTTTCTATTTCTGATGCATCATAATTGATTATGACAGTGAAAAATGTCATGTTACGAAATCTTATCACACTTGTGCTTTGAAGGATTATGCATAATACCACTTTATCAACTTGTACCTTCATATCCAGTATTCTAAGACTCTATCTAGTCTTCAGGAATCATCTTGGGCTTGCTTTATGTTTGAATGAAATCATTATCAAAATCATATCTTGGGCTTGGTTGAGCCTTGAATGTTGTCGACTTGAATCATCATCAAAATCCTCTCTTAGGAATGTAGGGACATGTTTCACATTGTCATCAATCTCCCCCTCATTGATTTTACTTTGTGCATTCTTTGATTGCAGGATCTCTTTGCAAGAGTCTGTGAGTGAGTATGATGCTGGTAAATTCTGATGTGGTTAGATTGTATGCTTGTGATGCTTGGGTGATATATTTTGTGTGCCTTGGATGATGAAGTATTTATATTGTTAGGCCGATTTATTTTACTTGATGTATGTGGTCCAAATGGCACGTCGTGGACCAAGTACTTCGAACCCTGCCCATCCCGCTGATGAGATCGCATTGGCCATCCAATGAATTGTCAATGTGATTTTGCAGCAAAACACCAACAATGCACCTGGGAATCAGGTCAGCCTGAACAATTTCATGAGGCACAATCCTGCCGAGTTCAATGGGAATGCCACACCTGATGAAGCAGATGCTTGGACTCGAGAGAATGAGAATATCTTTAGGGTCATTGCTTGTCCTGAAGAGTAGAAGTTGACTTACGCGTCGTTTCTTCTGGTGGGTGACGCTGAATACTGGTGGAATAATATGCAGCAACAAATGGAAGGTCGTGGTGAAGCGGTTAATTGGACCAATTTCAGGGCGAGATTTCTGGAGAAGGTCTTCCCTGATAGTGATAAGTTCGATAGGGAGGCAGAATTTTTGACGATGCAGCAAGGAAAGATGACTATGCAAGCCTATGTGAACCGATTTGAATATCTGACCCGGTTCTACACCCAGAATGTGACTGGGGAGTGGAGGTGTCACAAATTTGAGAGGGGGGGTGAGACATGAGGTAGCGAAGGTCATTATGCCCATGAGGATCATGGATTTTTCGGTTTTAGTGGAACAGGCTAAGACAGTATGCCCATGAGATCCTTCGAATGTGGCGGTGCTCACTTCAAGTGCAATTTCCCTAATCTGGTTGAAGTGAAGACGAAGGAAAGAAGATGCTACATTTGCAATAAACCAGGACACTTCGCGAATATTTGCCCTAAGAAGAAGTCAGGGAGCAGATCACAACAACGAAAGGCTTATGGTGAAAAGCCTCAGGCAGCTGGCCGAGTGTTTGCATTATCTATCGTGGAAGCTACCCGGTCAGGTAATTTAATCCAAGATAATTGTGTTGTCTGGAAAATTTGTGTTTGTGCTATTTGATTCTGGAGCTACACATTCTTATCGTTACGACAGGTCTCAACCAGCCTGGTCTATGTTGGATGTCTGATCGAAGTAGAGGGGTGTAAGTTCGTGGTGAATCTTATTTGTTTACCACTTGAAGGGTTGGACGCCATTATAGGGATGGATTGGTTGATTGCTAATCACATTCTTATTGACTGCGGGCAACATAAGGTGGTGTTAGGCGACTGGGTTGGAACTAGGTTCGATTCAGTCGATTCTGCAAGTCTTGAAGGATGGAGCTACCTGTTATTTGGTGATAGCTCAAGAGAAAAAGAAGAGTGCCAAAGAGGAGGTAATAGGGATACCAGTAGTGGAAGAGTATGCCGATATCTTTCTTGACAAAGTATCGGGGTTGTTGTCGAGCAAAGAGGTGGATTTTGCTATTGATTTGGTTCTGGGAGCAGGTCCAGTATTAATGGCTCCATATAGAATGGCTTCAGCAGAGTTTGCAAAGTTGAAGAAACAAATTGAGGATCTATTGGAGAAGAATTTTATTAGACCAAGTGTTTCATCGTGGGGTGCTTCGATTTTGTTGGTGAAGAAGAAGGACGAAAGCTCAAGGTTGTGCATCGATTATCGGTAATTGAATAATTTGACGATCAAGAATAAGTATCCTTTGCCGAGGATTGATGATCTGTTAGATCAATTGAAGGGAGCAGGGGTGTTTTCAAAGATCAATTTGAGGTATGGATATCATCAGATCTTAGTCAAACCAGAGGATGTGCAGAAGATGGGGTTCAGGTCTCATTATGAACATTATAAATATGTGGTGATGTCGTTCGGTGTAACAAATGCACCTACAATTTTCATGGATTACATGAATCGAATTTTTTGGCAATGTTTAGATAAATTTGTTATCGTGTTCATTGATGACATCCTAATTTACTCAAAGGACCGAGAAGAACATGTCGGACACTTGAGGGTTGTGCTGGGTATACTACAAGAACATCATTTGTATGGGAAGCTATCCAAATGCGAATTCTAGTTGGACAAAGTGCAGTTTCTCGGTCACGTGATATCGGCACAAGGTATATCGGTGGACCCAGTGAAGGTGGAGGTTGTGATGAAGTGGGAACGGCCCGAGACTATCACGGAGGTAAGTAGTTTCCTGGGGCTAGTAGGCTATTATCGCAGGTTTGTGGAAGGATTTTCTAAAATGGTAGGCCCTTTGACTTAACTAACTCAGAAGGATCAACCTTTCCCATGGACCGATAATTGTGAAGCAAGTTTTGTAGAGATGAAGAAAAGGTTGATGAGTGTTCTAATGCTAGTTATTCCAAATACGGCTAAAGATTTTGAAGTTTACTATGATGCATCCTATCAAGGTCTGGGGTGTGTTCTAATGCAGGAGAAGAGACCGCTGGCTTATGCGTCTCGACAATTGAAAGTGCATGAGAGAAATTACCCTACACATGATTTAGAGTTACCTACAGTGGTATTTGCTCTGAAGTCTTGGAGGAATTACTTGTATGGATCGTGTAGACCCCAAATCTTGCCCCGCTTCTCAATAAAGATAAGAAGACTTCCGTCCTAAAGATGGGCACCTAGCAGCATCAACCAGGTTCTATTTAAAGAAAGGAGAGTTTTTCTGAAGAAATAAAAAGTGAAAATTTGAAGAAACACTTGGGATGGTCGTCCCACATTCCAGATGGGCATCCCAAGTGAATTTTCAGCTCTGAGACGCATGTCCCAAAAGCCAAATGCACGTCCCAGATGATTTGCATGCTGGGATGATCATCCCAAATTCCAGATGGTCGTCCCAGCCATTTTTTCACTTTGGGACGCCCGTCCCAAATGTCTAAATGGTTGTCCCACCTGACAGGGCTTAGGACGGCGGTCCCGACATCCTAACAGTGCCCAACTATAAATAGGAGCCTCATTTGCTGCTTTTGGACACACCTTGACACAGATTCACTTCTCTCTACTAATCTATACACTTCTAGTACTCGAATGATTTTCTGATTGCCTATAAGTTAACAATCGGTTAAGGAAGTCTCTTTTTGAGATATCCAGCATTCGATAGTTTTAAACTTTTCTTGTATTTGGGAAAGGACAGTCCCTATAGTACGAGAGGATAGCCAAAATGCATCCCAGAGTTTAAGATTTCTATAAAAGCTTGCTTCAGAGGTTCTTTTCACTACTCTTCTCTTTTATTGCTTTATTTATTGCTTTCCTATGTGCAATAGAAATAGGATCATGTAGATAATCATTTTAATATTGGGTAATAAAATAGGGTACTAGCGTAATCTCTTATAATCTTTATTTTATGAATTAATCCGTCATAGGGAACCCACAAGGGGCGTTGTGGGGGTGCTAATATCTTCCCCACACGTAACTAACTCCCTTACTCGACTCTGGTTATAATGGCCAAGTTTGGTTTTTCTTAAAATCAACGCCTTTTTACCCTTTTCCAATGTTTACGAAAACCTCGCTTTTTTAAAGATTAGTTCAGTTGATGAGCATCTTGAAAGCGATGATCATTATTTTTTACAAAATGCGAGTCTAAACCATCTTATCAAAACTGCTCGCATAAATGTTCGTAACGTCCTGAGGCATCAAAACGGATGGCGGCGATAGATGACGGCTCCACTGGGAAATCTAGAGAGTTTATCCTAATTAGAGACGGATAAATTTGTTAGAATCGCACAGCGGAATGTTTGCGTGTCGGACAAAAACCAAGAAGGGGGGTGAATTGGTTTCTTAACAAAAATTAGGTTTTAAAAATTTTCCCCAAATTTTACCGATTAAAATACTGTGTAAACGTAAATAGAATAGAGATAGAGTCTTAAACAGGAGATTTATATTGGTTCACATCAAAAGACCCTACGTCCAGTTGCTAATCACTCAAACAGAGGATTAACGCTGTCACTATAATAAAAGATATTACAAACAGATAACAATGGAAAAGATAAAGTAAAGAAAACACCTCTCTTGAAACCCACAAGAGATGAAGAACAACTTTCCCTAGAGACGACACAACACACAATCCACTAAGAACTCCACTTAGTGATTCTTATCGCTTCTAGCCCACACCAGGTTCCAAAAGCCCCTTTTTCCTCCAACAAACAGTTCTCTAGCACTCACAACACTTAACTTTTGTTTGAAAAAGGTTGTTCAATTTTCTGAGAGCCTTAGAGAACCTTAAGTAGATGAATTAGGGTTTGGGAATTGGGGATTTTTGGAACTTGGAGTACTGGGATTAGGGTTTTCAAAAATAGGTTTAATTTGAAGTTGAAAATCAAAATCTGACTGAAATAATCGATTAAATTAAGTGTTAATCGATTATTACAGAGTCAAAATCAACAGAACCCTAAAACTCTCTGTTTTAATCAATTAAGTGCCCTGTTAATCGATTAACAGACCTGTTAATCGATTAACAGGTGTGTTAATCGATTATTACAGTGAACAGATACAGAAAATGGTTTTTCTCACTATAATAATCGATTATCTGATGATTTAATCGATTAAACCCGAGGCTTTCTGATGAATATGAGTTTTTGAAGCTTCTAAAGAGTAGACTATGTACCGGCTATCTTAGACTCTAATATTACAGACTCAAACACATCAAAACAGAGTTATTACACAATAATACAAGTCTTCAACTCTCTAAGTTCTTCGTTCTTGAATCATCATCAAAATCAACAAGCTTCATGTCCATGTAAGTTCAACATCAAGCCCTTGTATGTTCAACAATCTCCCCCTTTTTGATGATGATCAAAATTTTCTTTTAAAGCCTTGTAATAACCTGTTTTATCTGTCACACTAACAAACACATTAAACATACCAGATAATATTTAAATTCAATCATAAGAGGCTTTAAATATTTCTCCCCCTATTTTGATTATAATAAAAAATTAAGAGTTCCCCCTCAACATATGCATAACTTGGAGATAAATCCCCCTCAAACAAAGCAATAAAAGAATACCACATTTTATTTCAGAAGTGAAAATACATGACAACACAAGAGAAAATAAAAACAAACTTTAAAATTCTTCACTATCACTATGAAAGTGTGAATAAAATTTATTTTCTAAATGGCACACTTTATCATCTATATCAGAGATACGGTGAATTATTTCCTCATGCCGTACGCTAGAAAGTGTGAAGAATGCCTGCATCCTCTGGTTCATATTAGATAACATATCTTCCATAGATTGTCTGGTTTCAGGATGAGCAGAGGAAGTTCCAGCACTTTGGATCTGATCAGAGGGAAACTCAGCAGCAGGGGGCATATCTTCATCAGAATCTTCAATATCTTCATCTTCGTTTGGAACGTCATCCTTGTGAACATAAATATTGTTAACACGCACCATTTGGAGTTGGGTTAATGTGTTGTCCAACATGTGATTTAAGTTAGTCGTTCGTACTGTTTGTTCACCTTCGACATTTACTCCTTTGTATTCAAGAATGCGAGAGATAAGGAGGGCATAGGGAATTTTGAAGGTGGGATGGCGTTTGGCTTTTAACATAGTCATGGTGACAAGAATGCCCCAATCTAAAGGCTCATTATTCATTATGGCATGAAAATACGAAGAGCGATTGAAGAACATTGAGCATGATTCGTAGCCCAGGGACATAGGATCCAGACAAATAAATGCAAAATCATGTGTTCCTCCTTCTTCAAAGGTCCAGCTAGAAGGAGACGCCCAATCTCCGTGGAGGGGTTTCGCAGAAAAGAACAATAAGCTAAGATCCTGTCAAAATCATCTAACTCACCATACACGTTAATAGCATCTTCTCTAATAGGAAAGTGGGCAACGTTTTCCCAAATATCATCATCAAGAATAATTGTGACCCCCTTTACTCGAGAGGCAGCAATTTGGTCTCTAAATTTGAACCTAGAGTAAAATACCCTAACTAAGTCAGGATAATACGTACCTTGCATTTGGATGAAAGGGAGAACTCCTTGAAATTCAAGGAGATTAGGAAAATTGAATCCCCTATTGATGAATTGATCACCAATAAGGAATTTGGGAGAGATAATACCACGTTCCTTCCAATAAGACAGAAATTCTTGTCGGCCTTCAGCATCAGAGATCCATCCTTCTACAGAATTAGGACGGGGATGAGATGAGGGTGCAGATCTTCTTCTGGTGGGAATTTTAGCACGAGAGGATGAGGCCATTATAAAATTAGAGGAGTAACAAGAAAGATTTAGGAAGACAAGTGATGTTACAAGAAGGAAAGATTGATAGAATGAGGCAAGAAAGCTTGAATTCAAGAGATAGAAGTGAGTAGAAGTGAAATGGAGGTCCCTATTTATAACCAAACATCTCCAACGGTCATATGGGAGTGAATAAAGGTGAAGAGAGTCGTTG